TACCATGTCCATTAGTACTGAAGCATGTGGTGTAGTGGGAGGGACCCTTATGAAGAAAATCCAGGTTTTCATAGCCTATTGTTCCCCTAAGGAGCATAGATTTAGAGATGGAAGGTTCGTTGGAAGTGCGAATTTAGGGTTATCCAAACCCTTCTTTTGACAGATCGCACAGTCGAGGCAAGAGCTTAATTGACATGCACAGGGTCACACTTGTGCTAGAAAGTATCTGAGATGGGGTTTGAACCCAAGGCTTCCCAACACTCTATCTACAGCTTAGTGACACCTCATCCCCTTTACATACTCCTTCACATTTCCTATGCTTTAGAAGTTTGAAAAAGTTATAGAAATAATTATTGCTTCCCTTCCATGCATAAGAGGGCCTGAAGGAGAAGGATGTGGGAAGGGTTGGGGGAAGTTAGAAACCAGGCAGTCTGGCTTTTCAATGGACTCCCCTCCCCCAAGGGCTATGGATCTCTATCTTTTGTCTGAACTTGTTCTTGGAGTTCTCTGTGGACTCATCAGGTGGGGTCAGGTAGAGAAACTGGCTCAGGAATATATAGATAGATAGATATATAGATAGATAGATAGATAGATAGATAGATAGATAGATAGATAGATAGACAGACATAGATAGATAGATAGATACATAGATATAGATATACATAATATAATATAACATAACATGACATAACATGATACAGTATGATATGATATAATTTGATATAATATGATAGGATAGGACATGACATGACATGATCTGATATGGTATGATATGATATCATATGCTATGATATGCTACGATACAATACAATATGACCCAATACAACACAAAACAACACAACGTAACATAATGTAATGTAATATAATATAATATACTCCTTGGGGACAAGGATGGGGGACAACTCCTTCCCATTCATCCATAGAAGTATGGAAATTCCAACCAAATAGGAGCCAGTCCAAAAACTTAGGATCATAGGATTTTTGAGTTGAAAGGGTAGGAAAGACTCAGTCCAACCCCCTCATTAATTAAGGAAATTAAGGCCCAGCAAGAGAAAGAGACTTGTCCAAGGTCACACTGGTAATATGTAGCAGAGCTGGTATTTGAACCCAGATCTTCTGACTTCAAGTCCATCTCTTTTTTTTTTCCCATTAAATGCCACCAGATCCCTCTCTCCTCTGGGCAAAGGCTCCAAAGCAAACTTCTACCAGACCAGGACCCTTCCTTATATCCCTCCCTCCCCTACTGAGAATTAAGAGTATTTCAAGTAGAATAAGAAAGTTCGAGATTCCAAGTCAACACTTACTATCTGTATGACCATACATCTCTATTATCTCATCTCTAAAAGTGAGTCTAATAACACATGTACTCTGACTCACAGGGTTGTTGTCAAGAGAAAAAACATGCTTTTGAAATGTCAAAACATTGTAGACATTTGCAAAATTATGCTTAATTAGCATTCCACTCTGCTGAAGTCCTTCTCCAGTTCCTTTGTGGGGTGTGGAGGTGACCATGGTTCTGGAGGTCTATCCCAGTGGAGCTTAAATAGGGGCGTGCTGGAGCCAACTTGAGAGCTGATTGCTAACTTTTTAGCGTAATCATTTATGCTGTAGAAATTGGGCAAACGCTACAAATCAGGTCTTGATTCATTTTGTTAATTCTCTAGACTTAAGAAAGTGTTAGTAATGCAGATAATTAATAGTTATTAATAAACAAACTGTTAGATTAATAATAATTAATAATGCAGACTAAACTTAAATGTGTGTCATGCATGCTTACAGTTTTTCCAGAGAGCTGGTTGCTAAATATTTACTCGTATTCACCTACTCAAAGCTCTAGTAGGTCCAACCAAATTAGAAAGACTTCATATATGGGCCTGGCAACAACAAGTTCTCTGAGCCTCAGTTTCCTCACCTATAAAATGAGAAAAGTAATACTGGCATTATTTACCTCATCATGTTGATGTGGGGAATGAATGTGTCATTAGGCCAGATGACAGACCATATTCCATCATTCTAGAATTAGCTTTGGCAAGTTCATTTCCTTATGGGATTGGCCATACATTGATATGTTTTTCAGTCACAGTAATAGTAAATCATAGAAGAGGAGTTGGTATGAGCAGAATTACAGGGTTTTTTTTTTTAAGTACTGGACTATTATATTAGGTGACTGAATGGCAGTAGAAATATCTAAGATTGCTCCATTGTTGACCTCAACTTGGTTTTTATTCTCTTCCCCTCCTTTCTGACTCAGTTTACCCCATTTCTTCTTCATGGAATTGAATTCTCTCTTGCTTCTTCTCTGCCTTTTCAAATTCAGCCTCTTGGGGGTGCATCAGCAATGGCTTCCTGAAAGACCCTAACTTTTACTGGTCTTTGTCTCTTGACTGTCAGAACCTCTCAGGGTCTGACACACAGTCTAGCTCCAGATCATAGTGTCTCATGTTAGAACGGACATTGATAACTGGGGCTTGCTCAGAGAATAGAGACCAAGATGGAGGTCAGGATGCACATGAGAGAAACTGGAGAAATGGGAATGCTTGGCCTGGGAAAGAGAAGGTTTAAGAGGCACATGATAGCTGTCTTGAAGTTGTCGAGAAACTGCCATGTGAAAAATAGATTAGACTTGCTCTTGCTTGGCCCCAGAAGAAAGAACTTGGAGCACTGGGGAGAAGATTCAAAGAGGCATGATGTCAGGAAAAACTTCTAACAATTAGAGTGCTGAAAAGTAGAAAGGCTTACTCTAGACATCATCATCATCATCACCATCATCATCATCATCATCATCATCATCATCATCTCTAGCATTTATATAGTGCTTTAAGGTTTGCAAAGTACTTTACATAAATTAATGCATTTGATTTGACCTGTGAGGTAGTTGCTCTTATTATGCCAGTTTCACAAAGGAGGAAACTGAGACTTAGAGGTATTAAGTGACTTGCCCAGGGTCACACAGCTAGTTAGTGTCTGAGGCCGGAATTAGCCAGACCTTCCTTTCTCCAAGTCTAGTGATGTCAAGCTGATGGGGTTGATAGAACATCCAGGAGGAGATGTGGGGAACCAGGACTAATTATAGGAAAGTCCCTGAGTTTCCCAGGGGATGGGCCTTTGGCTTGCTGCCCCACATTTTTTTTCCCCAGATCTGAGGCTCAAGGCTCACAGGCATTGCTTCAGAGAACTCAGTGAACAACTAATTAGCCAGCTTTTCCCTGGACCTCGGACACTCCTTACCCTGAGGGAGCTTTTGCCGTAACATTTGTTGAAAGAATCCACAGAGGTAGTCCAACCCATCCTGGAACAAGAATCTCTTCTACATTCGACATCACCCTTAATAGGTAGATGTTCTCCACTTCACTTAAGACCTTTGAAACCGTTCTAGTTGTTAGGAAATCCTTCCAGACATCAAACTTGAGGGCCTCTTTACAACCTGCACCCGTTGCTCCCAGTTCTGCCCTCTGGGGCCAAGCAGAGCAGCTTTTTGTACATGACAGCCCTTAGAAATCCTTAAACATAGTTATCTTTTTAATTTTATTCCTTCTTTATCTTTTTTTCTCTCTTTCCTCCTTTCCTCCCTTCTTCTTTGCTTCCTTCCTTTCTTTCTCTCCCTCTCTCTCTTCCTTTCTTTTTTCCTTCTTTCTCTTCTTTCTTTCCTTCCTCCCTCTTTTCTTTCTTTCTTCCTTTCTTTTTTCCTTCCTTCCTTTCTTCCTTTCTTTCTCTCTCTCCCTTCCTCCCTTTCTCCCTTCCTTCTTCCTTCCTTCCTTTCTTTTTTCTTCCTTCCTTCCTTTCTCTCTCTCCCTCCCTCCCTTCCTTCTTTCCTTCCTTCTTTCTTTTTTCCTTCCTTCCTTCCCTTCTTCCTTCTTTCCTTCTTTTTCTTTCTTTCTCTCCTTCTTTCTTTGTCAATACAGGTCCAGGTAGATAGTTTATCTAAGGAGTTACTGGGCAAAGAGAGGGATACCTTCTTGGCTGGTTTTAGGAATAAAAGGAAAGAAAGCAAGAGAAAATACACACAGAACTCTCTGTCTACCCTGTGAGGTCCACTGCCTCAATGGAACCTTCTTTGAATGCTTCAGTTTCACAAGATCTCTTCTTATATTACCATTCCAATAGGGTTTCCCATCGACACCTACAACCAAGATCTTACTCTTTTTACTTTACATTATTTTATGATTACCACATTTGTAGGAGGAAATCTTGGTTCCTCAATGAGACTGGAAGCTCTGAAAGTAAAGACTGGAGAACTTTCTCCTTCTCCTCTGGGCTCCCCTGGAGTATATGGAGCCCAGATTGAGTGTGCAGGAAGTTCAGCAAAGCTTCAGTGATTGATTGAAGGAGATGTCCAAGGGCACTATAATAAGATTTTAGAGTTTTAAAGAAAATTAGAAGTTATTTGGAGAAGCTAGGTGATGCAGTGGATATAGTGCCGGACCTTGAGTCAAGAAGACCTGAATTTAAATTCAGCTTCAAACACTTACTAATTGTGTGACCCTGGGCAAGTCACTTTACCCTGTTTGCCTCAGTTTCCTCATTTGTAAAATGATCTGGAGAAGGAAATGGCAAACACTCCAGTATCTTTGCCAAGAAAACCCCAAATGGAATAACAAAGAGTTGAATGACTGAAACAACTGAACAACAACAGAAGTTAGTTCAAACATTTCATGCCAAGAAGTTTGGAGGGGAGAGGTGATTTCTCTAACATCACGTATATCATAAGGAGAGTTATCCAGAATTCAAGTTTGAGTTGTCTCACTCCAAATCCAATGTACTATTTGATATTCTTGGTGAAAGAACAGATTTTCCCTCTATCCATGGGATCCATACCAACCCTAGGAGGCTGTCAATGGGCAAGGAAAACCAAGAGGTTGGGTATGGCAGGGGCATGAGCAGGTTGAGGCACATTCCTGGGATGATTCGGTGATCCTAGATCCTACTGCTGATTAGCTGGACCTGTGCCTGAAGCCTCACCACCACCTCTTCCTAGTAGCCTGTCCCCAGATGATGCTATAAGACCTCTGTGGGGAGAGGAGGGGCCCTCACTCCACTTTGGGTGTGATCTCAGCAACATGAAGTCTCTCCTGATGCTCCTGGCAGTGGCAGCTATCACCATAGGGCAAGGTGAGGGGGTGAAAGTCTGGGGAGGTGGAAGGACTACCCTATGGGGCTTGGGCTTCTCGGGTTGGGGGGGTGGAGATAGTGATTTTTGCCTCGGCCCTTGAACCCTGCTTTCTCATTGGGCCATAGAATCATACTCCTCTAAACCTATGATTTCATTGGTATGAGCATTTTTAAAAATGTAAATCTTAATTCTTCCATACTTTAGCAAAAAGTTTCATAAATTATTGTAGTAGATGAAAAATTCATCATCTGGTAGCCAGTTTATGGTGATAGGGCCATCTTCACTTACCTAGGCTGGTTTGTAGATGACAGACACGGAGTCCATCACTAGGTCCATGTTTTCTGATTTGACAGAATCTGCCAGGGATTGGGGTCAATTGAATAGCTTGTCAAAGTCCAGGGTCATCCCCATAGCATAAGGAGTGATTGAATCATAAAATGAAAAGATTAAGAGTTTGACAATATTACAGCATGTCAGAGCCAAGAGGAGACTTAGAACATAAAACATATTACTGGATATTGAGTATTATTACTGGGTGAGTTCTTAGGACACAGAAAGCCAGAGTGAGGTGGAAACTTAGAGGTCACCACGCTCAACCTCTTTTTCTTAAGAATGATGGAAATGAAGGACCAGAAATAGAAACTGACTTGCCTGTGTAGAAACAGCTATAGATAACTACCTCTTCATATAATGTCTTTACTATGGTACTATAGATACTATGCTACGGTATCTATGATATATAGATACTATAGTGTCTATACTCTCTCTCTCTCTCTCTCTCTCTCCCATAGTATCTATACAATAGTATCTTTTCAGGAATTAATATTAATGTTAATTCCCATACCTATGAAACTTCACAGTTTACTGGTCTCATGAGAAAATTCTAAGAAATAGATAGTATAAAGACAATTATCTCCATCTTACAGATAAAGAGACTGAGGGTCAAAGAGGATGTGTGATTTGTCCAGGGTTACAAAGCTAATAAAGAATTGAATTGAATTGAATTCTGACCTCTCTTTATCCAACTCAATTCAACACAATTCAATGCATTGCAATTTGGTTGAATGGGGGGGGGGGTTAAAATTCAATTTCATTCATTTTCAATTCAATGTAATTGAAACAATATCAGAGGGGGATCTAGAATCCAGGATTTCTGACTATAGGTTTAATGTTCTCTTTATTATTCAACATGATTTCTCTCAAGTGAATAGCTTTTTCTTGGGGAGGGCATTTACCAAGAGTGTGACATTCTAGATATATCGATTGATTTCTAGTCTTATCTCTATCACTCACCATGTGGCCTTAGACAAGTAACTCTCACTTTCTAAACCTCAGTTTCCCCACGTGTAGACCCTATTAAAGATCAGCTTTTAAAAGCACATTATGGAATTAGGGTGAGGGGTGCGTGCAGGGGTAGAGGGTATACAATTATTTTGACCTCCATTGGAACTTGATTATTTGAACCTCAGGCCCAGCTCAGTCCCTCTCTCCAATGACCGCTAATATTCTCTCTTGCCCACTTCACACACCCTGCTCCAGTGACCCCTGCTGCCCCCTGGAGACCAAGAACAGAGATTTCTCTCTCTGGTCCCTCCCTCCTCTCCCCCCTCCCCCCATCTACAACATCTATACCCAGTTAGTATTGATTTCAACTATGATTTCAGGAATGAGGATCGTTTGTGTTTGATTAATAAGTATGTATGTGGCTGTGGGTAACTGGTAGTGGGTGAGCTTATCTGACCCCATAGTTGTCTATGTCTATGTGGTTATGGTGATGGTGCAAGAATGAGTATGGTTCTGGGTGTATCTGTGGGGGTGTCTGTATGACCATATGTGGATGAGTGTGGGATTGGATCTTAGTGTAGAATCTTAGTAAATCTACTTGATTATGCATGATAGTGTTTGGGGTAGTGTACAAGTGTGGACAAAGGTAAGCTATCACTGGCCAAACATGGAGGAGAGGTCTTCTCTCCTGGCTGGCCTCTCCAACATCGCTCTCCTTCCAACCTCATACCTGGCAGCATGGAGGCTCTCAGGGGATCCCTCCACTTCTACAAGACTTCTTTCATCTCCTTTCTATCAGTTCATTCCTGAGACTCTCTCTATTCCTGAAACCCTCCTTATATTTACCATATGCCAGCTCCTCTTGCCCTCCTGTTACTATTGAGATCATCCTATCTGATAAGGAGGGGAAGGTTGGATAAAGGATTTGTCATAGAGAGTTCAGTGGAGAAGGAAGGAGAGAGACAGAAACAGAGAGAGCTGAGAAGAGACCGATCTCCAATGGACCTCAGAAGCTGTCCAGCTCACTGCCTCCCTCCCAGGTTTATAGATAAAGAAATTGAGACCCAGAGATGCAAAGTAACTCTCCCAAGATCCCACAGGTTATAAGTATAGAGGGGAAAGTTAAACTCAGGTCCTCAGGCTCCAGGCAGTGCCTTTTCTGTAGTGTAAGATAGCAGTGGAAAAAGAGAATCTTTGGGGGAAATGGGTGACCTGGAGTCATTTTAACTCAACTCAATTCAATTCAATTACAACATACATTCATTTCAATCCTGTTCAACTGAATTCAATTCAACCCAAACTCAATTCAATCCAATGCAACAAAATTAAAGTCAATGGAATAAAATTCAAATGAATTCTATTCTATTCAATTCAATTGACCTTTCTCCATTTATTACCAGTCAACTCAACACAATTCAATGTTTCTATTTAATGGAATGAAAGTCAGTTCAGTTCAATTCATTTCAACTCAACTCATTTCAGTTGAACTTGATTTATCTCAGGACATTGATGATCAGGGCTATGAGGGAGGAAGAAGATAGAGTCCCACTTTTAGAGGTGAAGTGGCATTAATAATACTTGTACTGCTGACCTCTCAAAGTAATTGTGAGAATCAAAAGAAGAGGGAAACAAATATTTATTAAGTACCTACTATGTGCCAGGTATTATGCTGTGCTAATTTACAAATATTATCTCATTTGATCAGAGCTGACAGATTGGATAGAAAATATTTTATCAACCTTAACACTGTCTAATATTTACTGTTGTTATTATTATAGGCTACTGATTTTCCAGATGAGGAAACTTAAGCCCAGACAGGGAAGATCACGTAGAAAATAGTGTTAAAGTCAGAACTGGAACATAGGTCAACACTGCTTTGCAAAGCAGCAGTTTGTAATTAAAAGCTGGAGTGCATATGAGTACGATATTTTTTGAATGTTTTGAGATGTACTCTTGCCTAGAGGTATTTTTGAAAATATCTTTTAGTTATTCAATCAACAAGCAAATATTTATTAAGCCCTTACTGTGCACCAGGCACTGAAAAGCAAAAATGGTCCCTGCCCATGGGAAGCTCAAATTCTAACAAGAGAGACAAAATGTACGCCAGTATAGATGAGATAGATAACGAACAAACTGGGGATAATTTCAGAGAAAAAGGCATTAGTTTTAAAGGAGATTAAAAGCCTCTTAAAAAAGCAGGGATTTCACCTGAGACTTGGAGGAAGCCAAGAAGAAGGACTGGTCCAAGGCACCGGCAAGTTGGGGGGCAATCCTGAATGTTGTGTGTTGAGGGCGGGGTGCTAAAATAATAGATAGTAAAGAAACCGTATTTTAAAAGCACAAACATTTACTTTGCCAAAGGCAGCGCCAGATCTAGAGGGCTCACCCTGTGGAAAAGAGGGTAGAACCCTTTAACAGTGAGAGGCATGTTTGTCTGTGAACTGAAACCTACAGCTGCTTTGTCATAGAAAATGGGTAACTAGGCGGGATCATGGATTTACCCTGAGACATAGTGAAACACATTTCTGCGAAACTTTACTTTTGGATTATGAGGCTATATATAACATGGGAGCCAGAGGGTGGCAGAATACCCAAATTTCAAGCCAACTAAGCATGGGGAGAGGAGGGGTGGGGTGGCAGATGAAGTCATAGGAAGCTGGCCTCAGAGTCAGAAAGACCTGGGTACAAGTCCTTTGACACATACTAGCTGTGTGACCTTGGGCAAGTCACTTAACCTTTTGGTAGACCCAGTCAGAAGGGAGTGTTGTCCCTACTGAAATTCCCTATGTCAATGAAATCACAGGTCTGGGAGAAAAGAGGAAAGGAAAGAAAGATGGAGAAAGACAGAGAAAGATAGAGACACACAGAGAGACAGAGACAAGGACACACAGACAGACACAGACAGACACAGACAGACATAGACAGACAAAGACAGAAAAAGAGACAGACAGATAGAGAGACAGGGAGGGAGAAAAGTGGATTGGACTGGACTAGTGTTATAAAGATGACCCCAGACTCAGTTCCAAAGACTGGTGTCTCAAAGACTTTTTATTAAAGAGGTTGAAGTGTGCCATTTCGATTCTTGCGAGAAGCGGGTGCACTTCCTTGGGAGGAGAGAAAATGCACTGGGTAAAAGAAGCCAGGGCAACCTTTATAGTTAGTAATTGCCTAACTCTTCCCTTCTGGATTAGGATTGGTCCTGATCCTTCTGGGTTACAATCTTCCTTATATGCCCCACCCCAACATACATTATGTGCCTAGAATTGTGTTATCACCCCCCCCCCTACTCTTCCACCCCCTCACCCCCGAGAAGTTAGCCTGTCTGTGCAGATTTCTTATCTGCTTATGCGGAAACTTAACTCTTTCATTTCTCACAACTAGGGACTCAGGATACCTGAGTTCTATACTATGCTGTAGTAGAAAGAGAAGATGATTCAGAGTCAGAAGACCTGGATTCAAACCTCAGTTTACTACTTACTGTGGTCTTGAGTCAAAAAAACTCTCTAGTCCTCAGTTTCTTTATCTGTAAAATGAAGATATCTCCAAGGACTCTTTCAGTACGCTCTTCCTCTTGGCTATGCCAATGGCTTGCTATGTGACCTTGTACAACTCTCTTCCCTTCTCAGGGTCTCAGTTTCCCATCTGTAAAATAAGTGATTGGTATTTAATGATTCCTAAGATTTCTTCTAGCTCTCCCATTCAATGCTCTAAGTGTCCCCCTGCCAGCCCTAATCACAGCCAGCATTTATGTAGGGTAGCTAGGTGGTGCGATGGATAGAGAGCTGGGCCTGGAATCATCAGGAAAACTCCCCTTCCTGAGTTCAAATCTGGCCTCAGACACTAACTGACTTGGTAACCCTGGGCAAGTCACTTAACCCTGTTTGCCTCAGTTTCCTCATCTGTAAAATGAGCCCGAGAAGGAAATGGCAAACCACTCCAGTATCTTTGCCAAGAAAACCCCAAATGGGGTCACAAAGAGTTTAACATAATTCGACAATAACAACAGGAACATAAGCTTTAAAGTTTACTGAAGGCTTTATCTCATTCCCCACTATGACTATTACTACCTCCATTTTAAAGATAAAGGTAAAGAGGGGTTAAGTGGCTTGCCCTTGGTCATAATGCTGCTAAATCCAGGAGGTCAGACTAGATTCCAGGTCTCATTCTAACCTAGTTCCCATACTTTCCACCATACCACACTGCCTCAAACACTCGGTGGCAATGGTCCAAGGCTGCCGTGGAGCCAGTCTGACCAGTTCCAGGGACTGGATTGTTGAATTTTCAGCATGAACATTTACACCTCAGGAACTAGAGGACACTATAAGTCAAGGCTAGATTTACTGTTTTGTTTATTGTTGAGACTTAAGATAGTGGTGGAGAATATGTTAAAAATGAAGATAAAACTTAAAAGTGTGTTAATATGTATGTGTTTTTTTTTCTTCCTGGTGACCAATTATTAAATTTATTTACCAGCACACCCTTGGAATAGCCTCATAAATCCAAAAGTCCAACCCTATTCAGTGCAAGCCTGGTCTGTGCAAAAAGGCAAAGCTATAGTCAATCAGAGGAAAATGGTAGGGTTGAGTGGAGACTACACAGACAAAGAGAAGACGGGGGAAGGAAGAGCAGAAAGCAAGTCCCTTCTTTAGGTTATAAATACAATCTAAAAATCATTGAAACACAAAATCTGAGTTGGAAAGCCTCCTGATTTAACTCATACCACCTCCCAAAATCCTTCCTAATACACTTCCTACAAATGCCTGAAAACCTTCAGTGGAAGGGAATCCCAAAAGTTGTAACTAAGAATTCTAGGGGAAAATTCAACTATCACCCACTTAACTCCACCAAGTTTTGTTTTTTTTTCCCTCTCTAGACTGAACATCTACAGTACTTTGTCTAATTGCTTTTCACAAAGCTTAACTTGAAGCTCCTTCACTACCCCAGCTACCTTACTCTAGAGAACTGTCCTCTCCCAATCACCAATACCCTTCCTAAAATGCAACAGTCACAACTGAAAACAATGCTTCATCTGTGCTCTTACCAGGGCAACATGCCGCGGGACCATCACTTCCCTGGCCTCAGACGCTACACCTCTCTGGGAGTAGCCAAAGATTACATTTTTTTTGATTGACATATCATATTATTGTTCAGATGGAGCTTGCAGTCCACTAAAACCTCAATTTGTTTTTTCCAGATGAATTGCTGTCTACCCACACTTCACATGGCTTGTACTTGGGAAGCTGATTTTTTTTAACCCATTTGAAGACTCCTATTTAAATTCCATTTTACTAGATTTAACTGAACATCCTAGCTTGATGAGATGTTTTTTGCTCCTGAATCTATCATCAAACATGTTATCTATCCTTACAGTCTTTGAATCTTGGGTCTTGGGCTCCCAAGTGACTAGCCTCCGGTCACAGGTAGCTAGTAAGTATCTGAGGTGGGATTTGAACTCATGTCTTCATGATTCTAAATCCAACACTCTTACCTACTATGGCACCTAGCTGGATACACACACACACACACACACACACACACACATGTACACACATATATGTGTATATACACACAATATATGACATATATATATATATGTGTACATAGATCTGTATATACATACATATTGTCTCCTCTGACAAAATATGAGCTTTTTTGGGGCAGAGAGTATTTTACTACTGTCTTTGTATCCCTAGCACATAGTATGTGCTTAATAACTGCTCGCTTTGATTGGTAAATCAGAAAGAGAAGGCTGATTCTTGAGAATCATTGAAGCCGTTTGGAGAAACACTTGCTAGGGATCTATAGGGGGATTCTTGCTCAGGTATGGGTTGGATTAGATGGCCTCTGGGGTCCAGTGCATCTTTGATATCCTGTGAGTCTGGGAGTCCAGGAAAAAGCCAAGGAGAGGGGCAGCTAGGTGTCATGGTGGATAGAGCACTGGCTTTGGATTCAGGAGGACCTGAGTTCAAATCCGGTCTCAGACACATAACACTTACTAGCTGTGTGACCCTGGGCAAGTCACTTACCTCCCATTGCCCCCCCCCAAAAAAAGCCAAGGAGAGGCCAAGAAAGAGCAGTGGGTGATAGGAGAAGCTGGAAAGAAGCCTCTAGCTCACAATGTGTTTTTGAAGCCATGCACAGTAATACTCTGTGTCTGCCCCTGTCTCCAGGGCAGAGCTCATGTCTGTTCCCTTTTTAGGGTGGGAGAGATGGGGTTATTGGGGCCAGGCAGAGAAGCTGTGGTTTCTCCAATCCTACCCCCACCCCTACTCCAAACCAAGGGGACAGGAAAGAAGGGGGAGTCAGGATATTGAAGACTGAGCCCAGAAAGGATCCCTGAGCTAACCCCTCACAACCCAAGAGCTTTATGAACCCATTGAGCCCCGGCCCATCTGACATGTCTCTCTTGTACCTACAGCCCAAGCTCTCCAATGTCACATCTGTGAAAGCGCTGACAATTGCAAGGAAGCACGCTACTGTCCTGGTCCTTCTCAGTTCTGCAAAACAACCATCAACTGTGAGTATCTGAGAAAAGGTGGAGAGGTGTTTCCTTCCATACTCCTCATCCCCTTCATCACCCAGTCTAAGACAGAGATAGGAAATCCTTGGAGATCCTTGGAGGCAGCAGACCTAGCACAGAGGAGACCTCACCCACTATGGGGATCACCTAGGACTGGTGGAGTAGAAATCCTAGTCCGGGGCGGATACTGCCAGCCAGAACTAAATGGGAGTATTTGACTATTGGTGACAGAGATGGTGATAGTGGAGATGGTTGATATTGATGATTATGGTGATGGTATGAAGACAATGATAGCAATGGTGGTGACGGTGATGGTCAGGACTGTAATGGTGATAATGGTAATGGTGGGATAGTAATGGTGAGGATGGTTGTGTTTGTAATGGGGGGATGGTAAAGTGGTGGTGGTGGTGGTAGTGATGATGATGATGATGATGGTGATGACGACTTCTAAAATGTGGGCTCATTTGAAAGCACTGCCCATAGTAGCCAGAGCTTGCAGAAAAGTGTTGGAGATGGGCTGAGGTCTGGGATTGGAGAGGGATTAAGTTTCAGAGAATGGAGGATTTGATTTGGGGAATTAAAGAGTTGGTGGGAAGACTCCTAAGGGTGTGTGTAGATGATATTTGTGTAACAGCCTCTTCTCTTCCTGTCTCCTCCAGTCCAGCGATTGTCAGGGAACCTTGTGAAGAAGGAATGTGCTAACTACTGTGTTGCACAGAATAGCGATGCGGGTCAGACCCAACCCCAGGTCCGGTGCTGTACAACAGACCTGTGCAATGCTGGAATTGAGAACTCAGCTCCTGTCCACACGCTCCTCAGCCTTGCTGTCCTGGCCCTCAGCCTTACCCTGGCCCTGGTCTCTATCCTCTACTGACCCAGACTGTAACCTATGGGACCCTTAGCCAGGCCACAACCCACTCCCCACCCCAAGCCTGTCCTGGAAGGTTCTGAACCTTCTCTCCACACAACTCCAGCCCAGCTCCATGTCCCTCCTCAATCCATTAACTTTCTCTCCAAACTCTTCTTAGTCTCCCAGGATAAGGGGAACATAAGGAAGGGGGTCTCCTTCTGCTCCCAGGGGTCCAGGAGGTCAGTTCTGCTCCTTACTTCCTTCAGAATATAAACATCTCAACTGGCCACTCAGAGAGTCACCCTCACTAGGCACTCCTGCCAGATCCATCCAGGGACTCAGAGATCCTGGCCCCATTAATCAGGATCACTTCTCAGCAGACCCTTGGATTTCCCCTGGGGGTGGGGAGGAAGAAAGGGGAGGAGGGAAGATCACCGCATGGTGTAGTGGACATTTTGAAAGTCTGAATCCTGATTCTGTCATTTACTGGTTGTACGATCCTGGGTAAGTTACTTCAATGGGTCTCAGTTCCCTCATCTGTACAATGAAAGGAGCAGACTCAAACAATCTTTAGGGTTCCCTCCAGCTCCAAAATCCTGTGTTCTCTAAGAGGTATTGGGATGAGCAGGAGGACAGAGATGGGGAGATCATTTCAATCCCACCAACTTTCATATTGTTTCTGTTAGCTCAGATTTTTATTTTCTACTCAATAATAACAAATGACTGAAAAGAAGACACCAAAGTCATGTCTTTATTTATTGGGTGTGGGAGGGAGAAGGGAGGAGGCAGTCCTGGGATGGGCTGGGAAGGCTCTCTGGGACCCACTCTGGGCAGGGGCTCAGCAGTGTTAGATGAAGAGTTAGAGCCCCATTCAACCCCTCTGGAGTCTATCGGCGAATACTCAGAACCCTGGAAGAGCAAGGAGGAAGGTGTGTGCGTATATACACACAAATACAAACCCCAGAATAAAACCTTCAAATATATGTACACCCAGAAAAAAAAACACATATGAACACATGTTGCATATACCATAGTATGACATCATAGTAGAGGGTTGGACTTGGAAATCTGGGAATACTGGGTTCAGATTCTGATTTGGATATTTATTACCTGTGGAACTTTGGCTACATCACTGAAGCACTCTGGGCCAAACTTTTCTTATCAACAAAATGAAGAGGTCAGATTGGGGACCTTTAGGGTTCCATCCAGCACTAAATCCATGTTCCTACAACAGGATGATAAACACTTATCAAGCCTCTGCACAGTTAAGAGCTAAACAAAATTTAAATCAGATGTAATCCCTATCCCTCAGGAGTTTGAGTGTCTAACCCAAGCCACACCTGCATGTATGTACATAGAGATGCACATAAAAATAAACCAGGCATATAAAAGTAAAACAAATGGAAACATAAGCACATATGTATAACATGCACATACTCACCAACAAACATACGTATGCCCTTTTCCTGTAATTCTCATCTTAGATCATTATCTATGCTTGAGGATTGTGTTTGGAGACTTGTTTAGTTGGCAAGTACATGCCCACTGACCCATTCCCTCCCACATCCCTCAAGCTCCTTTGTCCTAAAACTACCTTTCCATGAGAGGTGTGGTGTATGTTCATGGAAGACTAGTACCTCTGGGGAGAGGGCTACTTTCCACCTTTGTGTCCACCTGATTCACCATAACTTCCTTCCTTCCTTCCTTTCTTTCTCTTTCTTCTTTCTTTCTTTCTTTTCTTTCTTTCTTTCTTTCTTTCTTTCTTTCTTTCTTTCTTTCTTTTCTAAAAAGCTTTAGTATGCACAGAGGCCACACCACAATAAACTGTTTCAGCAGTGGGCTAAACCAGGTTGAGGGTAACCAAGGTGTCTCAAACCTTTCAGTGAATTAGGAGGGTGTCTAATCCAAGCATATGAAGACTTCCCCAGGTGGAATGGACAGATGAGAACAATTTGTTCCAATGGCATGAAGGCAGCTGAAGTAGGCACTGTGTAACATGGAGAGCTTGGTCAGACATCAAAGATACCAAGATCATCGGCTATCACCAGTCATCTTGACTTTGTCTTGCCTCTGGGCTTTGATGACTCTAGAAGAGAGAGTGAAGCCAGTGACTTTGCACAACTCTGCCTCTATTAAATCCAATTGATCACAAATCAAAAGACATCACCCATACCATTTGCCATTTTTATCTACCTCAAAGTCCTGTGGTGACAGGCAAGTGATGAAGCAGCAGGTGGAGATACATTGGGAGCTGTAGTCACAATCTTGCACACAGGTGGCCCAGGCCATAGGATCATCTTCTCACTGGACTGAAGGAGCAGTGGGATTTGGTAGCTTCCTGTGTGTCTGAACAGTCTTTTTTAAGGACCATACCACTCACCTCCTGGTGTAAGAAAGCAGTGAGAAAAGGTGCCCTAAATATTGTTTGCTTCACCCAACCTTGGCCTGCTTACCATGGCAAGTGGGGAATCCCACCCTGTGATCAAAACAAAAAAATGTACAAAAACTTTTGCAAAGATGATTCTACTCACCATTAGTACATGGAATGTATGTACACTTATGGATAACACAAAATCCAATAAATGTGAAAGATGAACAGCTCTTGTTACAAGAGAATTCAGCAAGTATCACATCCAAATAGCAGTCCTGACTGAAATAAGGCTGGCAAATGAAGGCCAGCTTACTGAAGTCAAAGCTTGATACACATTTTACAGGAATGGCCACAACAAAGGTGAGCACCGTGAAGCTGGCATAGGTTTTGCAACCAAAACTAATCTAGTCAAGAAGCTTGTATGCCTCCCCAAAGGAGTGAACAACAGACCTTGCCACTTGCAGGAAAATGTCCTACCACCATCATCAGTCCATATGCTATCACCATGATGAATCCCAATGAGGTCAAAGAAACATTTTATGAAGACCTGGAGACCTTCATCATCAATGTGCTGAAAGAAGACAAGCTTATAATTCTGGATGACTTTAATGCAAGAGTAGGCATAGATTACCAGACATGGCAGGGAGTCCTTAGAAGGAATGGAGTCTGAAACAGCAACAGCAATGGTCACTTACTACTGAAGACTTCTGCATCATGTTATCTTCTCATCACCAGCACTGTCTTTCATTTACCTAAACACAATAAAAGCTTTGTGAATGCACCCTCACAGCAAACACTGGCATTTAATAGACTATGTCATTGTAAGGAGAAGAGACAGACAGGATGTGAGATTGACAAATGCATTGTGTGGTGCAGAGTGCTAAACTGACCTTAGACTTATCATCCCCAAGCTAAATATTTGTATTCAGCAAAAGCTGTGAACCCAAGACAAGATGACTTCTAGAAGACTTAATGTTAATAAATAAGAGCACTTCTCCAAGTAGGAACAACTCATTGCTAACTTGGAGGGACAGCTGAGCCAGTGGAACAGAAAAGGAGTGGGCAACTTTCAGAGATTTGGTATACAGCATTACATTTACCCATCTGGGCCAGAACACTTGCAAACATCAAGATTAGTTTGATGAAAATGATGGGGAAATTCAGAAGCTGCTAAAAGAAAAATGAGAACTCCACAGTGCTTACCAGCAGGACAGTTCATCTGTCTCTAAGACAGCAACATTTAACTCCATCAAAAGTAAAGTACAAGGAAAGCTTAGAGAGATACTGGGTTCTTAGCTCAGTAAGAAGGCAGATGAAATTCGGTTTTATGCTGATAGCAACAATCCAGAGCACTTTTATCACACCCTGAAGGCTATTTATGGGCCAAAGACCTATGATGCATCTTAACTACTCAGTGCCAAGGGGGCCACATTGTTTAGTGATAAAGACATGATCCTAGAGAGATAGGCTGAACACTATTTAATAGTGTTCTCAACAGACCATCATCAATCAATGCTGAAGTCATTGACCTTTTCCTCAGGTTGAAGTCAATGCCTCTCTAGTTGAATTTCCAACTGAGGAAGAGGCTTTGAATGTCATTAGGCTCCTCTCATGTAGCAAAGCCCCTGGTGCTAATTCTATTCCAGCTGAGATTTACAAAGCAGGGGCTCCACTGCTCATACAGTGGATGGAAGTTTTCCAGGTTATATGGCAAGAGGAGGCTATCCCCCAGGAGCTCAAGGATGCTTCCATTGTCCATCTCTATAAAGGAAAAGGAAACAGATTGTCCTGTGACAAACACAAGGGGGTCTCTTTCTTAGTCATTGCTGACAAAATTCTTGCCAGGGTCCTCCTTAATAGACTGATCCTTCACCTAGAAGATGGTTATCTACCTAAGAGCCAGTGCAGCTTCAGAGAGGGACAAAGAACAGTTGATATGGTGTTTGCTGCTAACAACTCCAAGAGAAATGCCAGGAGCAGAACAGAGGTCTATACACAAGGTTTATTCACCTGACCAAGCCCTTTAATACTGTCAAGTCATGAGGGCTTGTGGAAAATTATGTCAAAATTTGGTTGCCTGTATTGTACATCAATTTCATGACGGCATGTTTACATAGGTTCTGGATAATGGATGATGTTCTCACACTTTTCCAGCCACCAATGAAATAAAGCAAGGCCGTGCACTTGCTCCTGTGCTTTTTAGCATGATATTTTCAGCAATGTTGCCAGATGCCTTAAAGGATGAAAATGGCATCAAAGGTAGCTACTACACTGATGGTAAATTATTTAACTTGAAAAAGCTGCAAGCCAAGACTAAAGTAGAGGAGGAATTGGTGCATGATTTTTTTGTTGTTGTTCGCAGGTGATTGTGCACTCAATGTAGCCTCTGAGGCTGAGATGCACCAAAGTATGGACTGATTCTCTGCTGTTTCTGCTAATTTTGCCTAACAATTAACACCAAGAAAACACAGATTCTCCACCAGCCAGCACCATACCATCCATATATGGAACAATTGGTTACAGCAAATGGAAAAATTGTGAATGTTATGAATAAGTTCACTTACTTTGGCAGTATAATTTCCAGGGATGTTCATACAGATGATGAGGTTGATGCAGGCACTGCCAAGGCTAGCTCAGTGTTTGAGAAGCTCTAAAGGAAAGTGTGGGAAAGAAAAGGTATTAGGCTGCCTACCAAACTGTAGGTCTACAGAGCCATCATGCTGACCTCTTTGTCATATGCCTGTGAAACCTGGACATGCCAGGTGCCATGCCAGGAAATGTAATTGCTTTCATTTGAATTATCCTAAGAAGATTTTGAAGATCACCTGGCCAGATAAGATACCAGACACTGAGGTCTTTTCTGGATCTGACCTGCTAAGCATTCAAACTCTACTGTAAAGAGTGTAACTCTGATGGACTGAGCACATGTTCGACAGCCAAATGTCCATTTGTCTAAAAGACTATTTTACAAAGAACCTACACAAGTCAAGAGCTCACACGGAGGTCAGAAGTGATACAAGGACACTTTCAAGGTATCTCTGAAGAACTTTGAGATCTAGTGCATAAAGGTTCTGTATTAAATTGGCAAAGGTAACAGAAATGAGAGCAGTCAGTGTTGGCAGGGGGTGTGGAAAGATTGGCACACTAGTACTTAAATCTGAGAGTTAATCCAATTGCTTTGGACATTTTATTGCTTCCAGTGAAACTATGACTGCCACAATATATTCTATAACATCTAGCTTATAGTACTTTGTCCCTTTCTATAATGTTTGCAAGGATACATCTGTCATTTAGGCCTTTTAAAACTCCCTATACTGTCATGAATTTGGCATCCATTGACTAGAAGTGTATCAATTAAAAACTATTAACTCCTTATATCAAAGGTCTTATTGTACTTTCACCAAAAAGGTATGCTACCAGGTATATTGGACTTTGAAGACATTTCTGTTCCTCCTAGGATATTTCTAAGTAGAGATCTGGAGAGGTCAGTACTTAATAGTGATGAGAAAAAAGACCACTCAAGATGGTAGAGTAGGAGGAAGCAGTGTAACCCACTTCCTTCTCCCATAAGAGAATGGAGGAAGGGGACACATGTGGGCTTGCTTGTGTGTGCATGTGTGTTGTACATATGTGCTTATGTTTCCATTTTTCAGCTTCTAGTAAAGGGGCTAAAACTCTGATACTCCTATTTTTATTCTTTTTTGGGGGGGGGGGAATGAAGTAACTGGGGTTAAGTGACTTGCCCAGAGTCACACAGCTACTAAGTGTTATGTGTCTGAAGCCAGATTTGAACTCAGGTCCTCCTGACTTCAGGGCCAGTGCTCTGTGCACTGTACCACCTAGTTGTCCCCCCTATCCTTATTTTTAGAGAATAAGGAGGGAACTCAGATAGCCCCCAGGAAAAATTGCTTTGGAGGGCAGAGCCAAGATGGCAGAGTAAAAGTAGGGACTAGCTTGATCTCTCTCCCAAACCCCTCCCAATATCAGTAAAAAATGACTCTAAACAAATTCTAGAGCAGCAGAACCCACAAAAATACAGAGTGAAACAAATTTCCAGCCCAAGACAGCCTGAATGGTCAACAGGAATGGTCTGTTGTGCCGGTCTGGGAGAGGAGCACAGTTCAGCATGGGCTGCACAGGTAAAGATGGGGCCAGAGCAAACCTAGAGTAGGGGTTTGAATCACAGGCAGCTGTGGCAGTTTCCAGACTTCTCAAACCACAAATGCCAAAGACAACTTAGAAGATCAGTGGGAAAGGTCTGTTGGACCTGGGTGAGGAGGAGCATGGTCCAGCCCTGGCCTTAGCATAGGGGTGGTGGCCACAGCAGCAATGGCTGCTTCCAGAGCTCTCAGTCCACAGGTGGTAAGGGGCTCAAACAACTGATCAGAAGGAGATTACAGGGATCTCTTTGCTGGCACTGAGGCAGGATTCTGTTGATTTTCCCATACTTGGGTCTGGGTCACAGTCCTGGGTGGCAGTTCTGGGGTGAGGAGGAGCACTAGCATAGCAGAGATTGTAGCAGCAGTGTAGCGGGGACCCTCTTCAAAGTTCTAGGGCAGAAAAGAGTACTTGTGGTTACTCACAGACCACAGCACATGCCAGGAGAGGAGTAAGCACCTCTCCTTAGATCATATCACTTTGGAAGAACTGAAAACTTACAGGTCCCTAGAAGTATCTCTGAAAACAGTTGCACAAAACCCCTGAAGCTTGGGACAGGACATTCTCCACACTGGAAGCAGACCCCTACCTTAACAAAGAGTTTATAACTTAAGTAATTGTCTGGGAAGATAAGCAAACAGCAGGGGGAAAAAACTCACACTATAGAATCTTACTTTGGTGACAAAGAAGATCAAAACATACAATAAGAAGAAGATAACAAAGTCAAAGCTCCTATATCCAAAGCCTCCAAGAAAAATATGAATTGATCTTAGGCCATGGAAGAACTCAAAGAGGATTTTGAAAATCAAATAAGAGAAGTAGAGAAAAAATTGGGAAGAGAAATGAGAGTGATACAAGAAAATCATGAAAAATGAGTCAATAGCTTGATAAAGGAGACCAAAAAACACTGAAGAAAATAACACCTTAAAAAATAGCCTAACCCAAATGGTAAAAGAGGTCTAAAAAGCCAATGAGGAGAGGAATGTCTTAAAAAGCAGAATTGGCCAAATGGAAAAGGCCCAAAAGTTCACTGAGGAAAATAATTTCTTAAAAATTAGAATGGAACAAATGGAAGCTAACAACTCCATGAGAAATCAAGAAATTAAAAAACAAAACCAAAAGAATGAAAAAATAGAAGACAATGTAAAATATTTCATTGGAAAAACAACTGACCTGGAAAATAGATCCAGGAGAGATAATTTAAAAATTATTGGACTACCTGAAAGCCATGATCAAAAAAAGAACCTAGACATCATCTTTCAAGAAATTATCAAGGAAAACTGCCCTGATATTCTAGAACCAGAGGGCAAAATAGAAATTGAAAGAATTCACCAATCACCTCCTGAAAGAGATCCCAAAACAAAAACTCCCAGGAATATTATAGCTAAATTCCAGAATTTCCAGGTCAAGGAGAAAATATTGCAAACAGCCATAAAGAAACAATTCAAATATTGTGGAAACACAATCAGGATAACACAAGATTTAGCAGCTTCTACATTAAGGGATTGGAGGGATTAGAGGGCTTGGAATATGATATTCTGGAGGTCAAAGGAGTTAGGATTAAAATCAAGAATCACCTACTCAGCAAATCTGAGTATAATCAATGAGGGGAAAAATTTGATATTCAATGATGTAGAGGAATTTAATGCATTCTAGAGAAGCCAGAGCTAAATAGAAAAATTGACTTTCAAATACAAGACTCAAGAGAAGCACGGAGAGGTAAACAGGAAAGAGAAATCATAAGGGACTTATTAAAGTTGAATTGTTTACATTCCTCCATGGAAAGATGATATTTGTAACTCATGAAACCTTTCTCATTATTAGGGTAGTTGGAGGAAATATATATAGACAGAGGGCACAGGGTGAGTTGAATATGAAGGGATGATATCTAAAAAATAAAATTAAGGAGTGAGAAAGGAAAGTACTGGGAGAAGAAGAAAGGGAGAGGTAAGATGGGATAAATTGTCTCATATAAAAGAGTCAAGAAAAAGCTTTTACAGTGGAGGAAAAGAGGGGGGAGGTGAGAGGGAATGAGTGAACTTTACTCTCATCAGATTTGGCTTGAGGAGGGGATAACATACACACTCAATAGGGTATGGAAATCTATCTTACCCTACAGGAAAGTAGGGGCAAAGGAGATAAGAGAGGGAGGGGTGATAGAAGCGATGGCAGGTTAGGGAAAAGGGTAGTCAGAAGCAAACACTTTTGAGGAGAGACAGGAACAAAGGAGAGAAAAAAATAAATGAGCGATGGGATAGGTTGGAGGTAAATATAGTTAGTCTTTCACAACATGACTATTATTGGAGTGTTTTGCATTACTACATATGTATAGCCTATATCAAATTGCTTTCCTTCTCAATGAGGGTGGGTGGGGAGGGAGGAGGGGAGAGAATTTGGAACTCAAAGTTTTAAAAATGAATGTTAAAAATTGTTTCTACGTGCAACTGGAAAATAAGATACACAGGTAATGGGGTATAGAAACCTATCTTACCCTACAGGAAAACAGAAGGGGAAAGGGGTAAGAGAAGGGGGGGCTGATAGAAGGGAGAGCAGATTGGGGAAAGGGGTAATCAGAATGCACATCATCATGGGATGGGGGAGGGGAGGGATAGGGAGAAAATTTGGAACTCAAAATCTTGTGGAAGTGAATGTTGAAAACTAAAAATAAATAAGTTGGAAAAAAATTTCTCTGATCTTAATTTCCAGAGAAAAACATAAAACTTGATCCCTAGCCCATGAGAAGGACCTTAGTACAGTCAGAGAGAGAGAGAGAGAGAGAGAGAGAGAGAGAGAGAGAGAGAAAGAGAGAGACAGAGTGCACTGTTATGATGCTAGAGATACCTAAGACTTAGATCCAGAAGAGTAGAATAACTCTAAAAGGCCTACAATTAAAGCCTCAAAGAAAAATATAGTTTGCCCATAATTAGAATTCTTAAGAATTTTAAAAAGAGCTAAAATGTTATAAATTAAATAAGAGTGATAGAAGAAAGAATTGGGAAAATAAATGAGAGCTATAGAAAGACTTAGAAAGAGAACTAACAGCTTATCAGAAAAGGTATGCTACTTTACCCAAGTAACAGACTCTTTGAAAATTAGAATGGCCCAAATAGAAATTAGTGACTCCATGAGATAATAGTAAATATTAAAAAATAGACATATGATTGAAAAATTAAAAGAAAAATTAAGGTATCTCATGTGAAAAACAATTGGAGCTTGAAAACAGATCAAAGAGAGATCATTTGGACTACCTAAAAGCCAGGACCAAAAAATAAAAGCCTAGATATCATATGCCAAGAAACTAGGAAAGAAAACTACCCAGATATATTAGTATAAGAGTGAAAAGTAAAAATAGAAATCACCATTCACCTCCTGAAAGGAACTATAAAATGAAAACTCTCAGGAGTCTCAAAGCCAAAATTCAGTTACTAAGTCAAAAAATAAAATTTTTCTTTAAAAAAAACAAACACACCATGAGCAGCCAGAAAAAAAAGA